GCTGTATATACTTTGGTGTTTTTTTTTACTAATTGATGTCATATTATTTAAATTCAAAGTCATAGCTTAAAATACGTTTTAAATGTTTTAATATATTCTCCAATATTAATGATCTTCGACAAATATGCAACCTTGTCTAACATTTTTAAACGTTCGTTTATACATTGACCTAGCTTTAAATTATTTGGTAGTCATGATATATAGGGAACCTTGTAAACCGCCTTGTGAATAAAAAAACAAAATAAGTGTAAATATAATATTTTACCGTACAAATTAACGATGGTCCCAGGTTTTTTTTTGCTAGAAAAATAAGGTTGAGAGTATTTTTTTTACGAGTGTATAGACAAAGGATTCCCATGTTAATAAAAAAATCACAATCGCAGCAAATGACAGATTCAAACAAAAAGCCCCATGTTTCAATTAGTCAACCATCAGACTCACTTTTTGTTATTTTTTTTTCAGTTATACTTGAGTATGTTCGTTATTAATTGGGGAACATGTTTTTACAAAAATGATTTTTTTATTCTACATCTTATCACTCCCGCTTAAGTGTTACACCTTAACTGAAAAACGATAAATAAACTTTAAAATACTTATAAAACACGTCATCTTCGCGAATTATTATCAAAGGTCATTGTGCGATTGCATAAATCACACGGATACATAATAAACTAAATTGCAACCTATTTTATTTAATATCAAAAAACGATAAAATTTAAACGCTAACGTTTACAAACTAAGGTTAAATTTTGACCTTCACTATAATACTAGTTTATTTAACTAAGATTTAACTTAAGGCGAATCATACAATTAGAATACTTATTTAAAACGTTCCAAGTCAATACAATTTTTTTTACTGCCCACGAAATTGGACGGCACTGAAACGGTTAAGCGACATAGACCTTAAGGGCACAACTCTGTCGTTATCCTGCATGCGGGGTTTCCCTGCATACGGATTAACGACAAATGAAAATGTTCGGTTGGTTTGAATAACGCGTCGTGGGGACTTACTTGAGAAGTACAATGCGTGGTAAGGAAAAGCAAGTACTATCGCCCAAAGCTTGTGGGTGCTAATAACTAATGAAAACGTATATCAAACGAGTTATTGCCAATTGAAACTGCACCAATTAAGTACCAATTTTGTGAATATATTGTATGAAATAAGTTTCTCAATTATTCAAAATAAAGACCCCTACATTTTTGATACAATTTATACGCAGCATAATAATGACGTAATCCTTTTTGATAACTAAAATCATTACATTGACAATTCTGAAAATATCTGATATTTAAATAAAATAAATTAAATAACTCAACTGAAATCATTGTATTTTATCAATATCCAATCAAATCTAATTTAGATAATTAATTATAGATAAAATAAAATCAGTAACAATAAATTAGTTACAAAAATGTCACAAATAATTTTATTATGATGAAAGAAAATTATGTACTGTCGAGTTTATTTTATTACTAAAACTACGATAACTATTTACTTTAAACGTCATTTCATATCAGTACACTCCTATTTTCCAATGTTTACACAAGCGATGACGGAAAAAGTGGATAATATGAGTAATATTAAGAAAGGTTTTAACAGTGGAAGAGCCCGCTTTAACATCTTCGCACGAATCGGCCCGGCTCGCCCGGTGAAATACCACGACCACATAAAAGACAGGCGTCAAGTGGATGCAATTCCGCGTTTCGTCTGATGAGTGTGCGTCCCGGAGGCCAAAATTGGTCCTCTTTCCCTTCCTACCCTTTTTCTTATAAGGAAAGGATGGGAAGTGGAAGTGGACTTTCTGGATGAGAGGATATATGGAAAGGGAAAATATTTTCTTTCTGTGCACCCTCTTCTCCGTCGATTAAAGGTAGGCAACGCATATGCAATTGCGTATGTCTATAGGCATCGGTCACTTCGCTATATCAGCGATTTCAGGTGGCCGCTCGTTCGTTTGCCACCTTATGATATAAAAAAAAAAAATTATAGACACATTAATTTTATGCAACCTTTTAACAAGGTCGGTCTACCATTAACTATTCATAAAATAGTACTTGATTATAACATCACAGATAACAAAGCGCTCAGTGTATTCGCCTGTCTCGTAAAGATTCACGTATTCATAGTTCTTAGTGTAATTTTCAATAATCATGTGGGAGAAAATTATATTTTGTGCTTCAATGTGTGTTTTAACATTCTCATTTATATCTAAAAAGATATCCTATAGCGAACCTAGTAAATTGAGTTTTCATCTAAAATTTTTCGTATATTATTTCTTATGCAGTTTACTTGCGTTTGTTATTTGGCCATTATTTTTATTCAGACCTAGGAATGTTAAAAATAGCAGGTTAGTGTTTTTTTTATTAATGCTACTTTTTTATAGTTATTTTTATTATAGATTTAATAGGAATATATTTAAAACTATCAAATATTGTTGTATTTGTGTCGTATTAGGCGATAAAAAATCATCCTAAAATATATTTCAACAACCATGACAAAGTAAATACACTCTCAAATCGAAGTGCAGTAATACAAAATTTAAAAATAAATAGGATCTGTGAGTAGCTTAAAAATTGAATTATTAGGGAATTTGTTAGGTTTTGTAAATAAAATAATATGTTATTTATGTGTATAAAAAAACGGTCAATTTGTAAAAATCCAAGATATAAATATGAACTGATAAATTAAAGCGAAAAGTCAACCAACCCGCACTGGGCCAGCGTGGTTGACTATGGTCTAATCACCCTTAATTTAGGGTAGGCTCCGAGCCCCTCGGTGGGGACGTATAGTGAGCTGATGATGATGATGATAAATTAAATATACCATTTTCTATGCCTAAATGTATTTATTTATTTTACAAAAATATTTTTTTTATTTACTGACAAGATTATAAATAGTATGGGAATTTAATAATAGCCCTTTGTTTTATTTTCCAATAATGTATGTCAACAAGTTCGTAGTATTTGATAAAAAACTATATTGTATTGTAATCAAATTTGATAACGAAAAGTGTTTATCAAAAACTACTCCGGAAATATCAGTTCGAACATATACCCTTGTACAGTGGTATCCAAACTTTATTGCGGCTCGTAAAATCGCACGAGACTGCTCAGAAAACCAACATTTGAGCTACCGCCAGTTCAGAGATACAAGCGTAAGGTTCACCACTGGATGCTTCAACCGCAGTAGCCTAGTATTTTTAGCTTGCCTAGTCGTATTTCCTACATGTAGATGTACAAACAATCACTCTTAACCACGAGCAATCATACAGTTTGAATCCTATAATAACACAATTCTATTATGCTTAATACGTAATGGTATTATTTGTACAGCTTTAATATTGTATTTACATGTATTTTACAAATTAGAGCCTTTGATGGCCAAAATTCGCAAAACATCTAAAAATCTTTTGAATATAATTATTTAGGTATCATAGAAATATTATGTATATTTAAATACTTCTGACTACCTTGATTTTATTATAATGTTTACTATTTATTTAACATTTTAAAAATGGCGCATTATTAAATTTGTATTTAACCAATCAAGGTTAATGTTAATTTTAAAAGCAAAAAATAACGCAACATACCGTAATTTTTATAGAATCGAATAGAATTAATGTTTTTATTCGTTTAAAAATTTAATATTCCAAATATCCTGTTTATGATACGTAATAATATTATTTATTAGATAAGCAATAGGCCTTGTCAAAGTGATTATAAGATAATATACTCTGTGATATGATTATTTAAAAAATAACAGTAGTAACAAGATAACCAACCTAACCTCTTTTATCTATTTTGCTATTCAGCAACTTGACTTTAAAAACTAGTTTTCTTATATCCATTATCTATGGTACGGATGTTTATATCTTGATATTTCGGTTAAAGCTGTAATATTGTAGATCACTAATCACTTAACCAAAGTAATTAGAGAGATACGATAAAAACAAGTAATAAAAACAATAATTAAATTGCTTGTTATATTAAAAGAGAATACATATTTTATGGTATTTAATGATATAGTATAATACTGCAAATAAACCAATTATACCATAGACGGCTAATAACTTCGATAAATATAAATCTCAAACATAGTTACCATACCATTTCCTTATAGGCCGGCAACGCATCTGCAGTTCCTCTGGTGTTGCAGATGTCTTTGATCACCTCGGTGTTCTCGCAACACGTTTGCCTTCGTTTCGTTTGTATTCATTTAAAGATTTAATGCGTTTTTTCTAATAAAAAAATATTATATGTTTTTCAAACCTTTTTAGATGGTATAGTTAGCAGTGTTAGTTGCTTACGATGTTCCGAAGCCTTTTAATTCTTCTAATTATCTTGAGACAAAAAAAATTATTCATCTGTCTATCAAGTTAAAAAATGTATTTGAATTCAAGTTGAATAACATTGCCAACTAATATTTGGAATTTTATGTGTATTGATGCATTTCATATGTTGTATATCAGAGGTATTTCTGCTCTAGTTCCCCAAGGGGGTTCCAGTATACACAGAATTTAACAATTGCCGACGCCGTATGTATATTTGTGCAAGCTACGCCACTGAAATATCGAACTATAAATTGTATGTGCCTATCGCAAACACGACAAACTGTATCGATATGTATTGCATAATGAAATAGTACTGCTGGCTAACGAATTTTTGTAGTTTTATTTTTAAAATGCAGGAAGTTTTTTTTTTAATTATATGCAAGTTTATACTAGCTGCGACTCCGTCAGTGTGGAATTTTAAAAATAAACTTTATAAGTAGCCTATGTGTTACATTTAGTTCTACATCTGTTCCAAATTTCATCAAGATATGTTGAGCGGTTATGGTGATACCTTCAAACATACATCCATCCATCTAAACTTTCGCTTTTATAATATTTTATATTATTATAAAGCTAAAGGGTTTCATCGTGTAATTACACCGATATTAATGAATAGGTCAGATATAAAATAAAATAGCTTTTAATATAATGCATACGTAATGGATGGATAAAATGAAACACCAAATTGTAGTAAAGGATATCGCTTTATCTCATCCCGTGTCCTTTATATGTACTTTGCCGGAAAATATCCATTGTTTTGATGTTAAAGGCCATTTATAAAAAAAACACGTATTCAAGTTTGGAAACACAATCAGTTTAATGACGTCAAAAACATGCATGAACAGTAATTTTGTTGACACCATATTTCGCCTGCCAATTTAAAAGAAAAATCGGTAACATTTAAAACAATACGTTTTTCTTCCAACAAGGTAAACGAACTATTGTTACATCCCGACGCACTTTTATTTCAAACACTATTTAAACCTGTAGCTCTCAAATTAATAACAGGATTTTAATAGTTGTGTTGTAAAATGCTTCAATAATTTCAATCACAAGTGATTGATTTAAAAATCGGAGTATACTATAACGTGGTGTAGTTCTTGTTGATGCTAGCGCTACCAAACTCATCAACTTTTTCACTGATCACTATAAGTGGATAGGCGACTGCTTGGAAATGATAGCTTTTGTTTCGTTCCGATTTAACCGCACCTATAGATGTAACATGACAGTTAATTCTATCTATTATTAGTTTGACTCTACACCACCACTACAAACTGCAACCATCAGCGCCAAAATGACAGTAATCGAATAAGCACAAAATGCCACATCTTATAACCAGTCTATTTATAGATTTCAGAAATATTTTTTAACTACTCATTTGTTTTTAGGTTAGCAGCCACTATTTTAAAACATATAACCAAATTATATGATTTGAAATGGGAACTACGTGGTGCTAATATACTAAGTGAAGAACGGGGAGCAGTGGTAGTATCAAATCATCAATCCTCATTGGATATTTTGGGTGCGTAATATTTCAGTACACATCCTTGTCTTTTACCAGAACACATTTATTATTGTAAATATACAGCTGGACTAATTAGTTTTTAAACTGCGTAATTAAGGAACTGTCAGGCACTGCGCAAATAAAAGGAAGTAGTTGTTATCAAAATGTACTTCAAAATGTTAATCTGTTTATCTACAGGTTTGTTCAACATTTGGGAAGTAGCTGATAAATTAACAGCGGTCGCTAAAAGAGAGGTTATGTACGTTTTTCCGTTCGGATTCGCTGCATACCTCGCAGGCGTAATTTACATAGACAGAAATGACCCAAAACGAGCAAGAGAACAACTTAATATGACGTCAGATGTAATGGTTAAAGAAAAGGTATGATATAAGAATGAACACTAATTTCATGGTGAATATTTATTACATTTTCAAGTAGTAATTCATATTAAGACAAAAAACTATAAAAAAATAAGTATCATATGACATATATTATATAATTCAAATTATTGGTACAATCATCGCGAAGATCTCTCGTTTCTTTGCAGTACGAACTGACCCTGGTCCTAATTTCATTTTTGTTTCATTGCAACGTAGTCAAGGACTCACGCAAGCAGTTCACATTGATTGGAATCGTATTAAAAAATCATCATTTAAATTACTTCCTCGGCATTAACGTTTTTTTATGAAATTTAAAACCGCAAAAGAATATTTTGTTTTTTCTTAACATAGCACGCATGCCTGCCAGAATTTTTTTCTCACCAAGGAGTATGTCGTTCTCACTATTTTTTGATCCCCATAGTACATACAAACATAAATGCATAAAAACTTACATCTTCTTTCAGTTTCAGTTCAGTAAAAACTAGATATAGTAATAAAGATACTGTGGTTTTAGACAAAAATCTGGCTATTTCCTGAAGGGACACGAAATAAGGATTACAGAAGTTTATTGCCTTTCAAGAAAGGAGCATTCCACATGGCCGTCGCAGCACAAGTTCCCATCATACCCGTCGTCTTTTCACCTTATTATTTTATAAATAACAAACAAGGAATTTTCAATAAAGGTATGGCAGATCGGAATTTTTCAATTACAGATATTTAAAAAACATCGTAACTCTTACGAAGGAATATTTATTATTTTATTAAATTATAATATTCCTTTTTTTGTATTTTTTTAATTCTTTGTGAATGAATGTATGAATAATGTTTAACTTATTTGAATTTTAATTCGCACCAAAAACCATGTTGGAAGCATTCTTTGATTACTAAGATAATTTTTATTGTGTCAGTTTCATGAAAATAGCCTTTAAATTTTTAATTCTGTTTACAAACTAAAATATATCCAGCAGTCAAATTAAAATCCCTATTCATTTGACATTTTCGCGTTGCAATCAATCGCGTGTTTACCGTATAAAACTAAACAACACGTTCGTGTGTGTTTTCACTTTCTAAACACTAATAAAAACATATTGTCATATCTCTCATTTTATCATATTCTTTGGCACAGATTAAAACATAATTTCGAGTAACACATGGGGATACTCTTCATTTTTTTTTTTGTAATTCTGAGCCGACAAATTTGTGGGAAAACCTTTTTGAAAACAAACATTTACATAAAGCTAAACATATATTTTAGAAGAAACCTCCAATTCTGAGCTGCCTTCTTAAGCTTGTAATAATTCAAACAAAGCTCTGCTAAACTGAAGCTTTCTCAAATCTGCTTTTCCGCTTTTCGCTGTAGTAAGCTTTTCAGAACATTTTTTCTTCTCTTGTAACAATTATTTTTAATGTCATTCTGTACGACAGTATTCGTTTAGATTTAATTTCATATTTTACTATATTAGACGCCAGCAACATCAATATATATTTTACGAATGGGCCGACTCGTCCGATGCAATACCACTATCACACAGAAAACAATGGGTGGGGTGACGTGAAAGCTATTCCGCGTTTTGTTTGATAAATGTGCGTGCCAGAGGCCTTGTATTGGTCTTCCTCCCCTTCTTGTAAGGAATGGATGGGTAGGGGATGTGGGTTCAGGCAGAGGAAAGTTAACATAGGAAAAGAAAATCTTTTCTTTCTGTGCGTTCCCTCCTCTGTCGATAAAGGTAGCATCTGCAAATGCGTTGTTTGCTTCCTCATTTGTCGCCTTATTCTATAAAAGATCTTAAACAAAGCCCGCATAAAAATGATTACTGTAATTGTATCTATATATAATTTATTTATCGAACTCATAATAATAAATAGTTCTCTAATAATAATTAATTATATATATATTATATATATATATATATTATAATAATTAATCTAAAAGGTACATGTACATATGTACCTTTTAGATTAATTAATTTCCGATTTGGAAATTCCGCACTGCAACTTAGGCATAAAATAATTTATATTTAGTGGGACAATTATCTAAATTACTTCCGTTTTTGTTCCAGGTCATGTCATAATTCAATGTCTCGAACCAATATCAACAAAAGGATTAGGTCCAGAAGACATCGACGGTCTTGTAACACGAGTGCGCGACGCAATGTCTACTGTCTACAAAGAACTGACCAAAGAAGTGATAACGAATTTACCTTCAGATTACCCACATACGACAGTAGGATAAATAGCATAATATAAAAACTATAATATTATTTATTTGTACCTGTGATGTATTTACTATTAAAAGCTTTAAAATTAGAAATATGTAATTATTACTTACCTTTTAAATTCACAAGAGTAGTAAATCCGAGCGTGAACTTCTGAGGTTCTTGTTTGATGAGGAAATTAACACTATTCATATAATACAAATCTTTTACAAACCTTTATTATTTTCGTGAAAATGATTTTCTAGATAGTTAATATTTTTCAACTCACAGTTGTAATAAATTCATTTTGAAAACCAGCGCCAATGCTGACTTATTAGGTGTATGGTTAACTGCAAGCAAAAACGCTCCATGCCGCAGATATATTTGGTGGCTTTACTTTTGGACTCTAACTACGCATCAATAAATATAGAATATTTTTAAATTAAATGCCCTTTTACCTTTATATTATATAATTTTAGCACAACAAATAAAATTAGGATTTTTTTATCAGGATATGGGCATTTCAGCTGACAACACTGCATTGTCAAAATGCTGTCAACTAGGTATATGTCATGAGTCACAACTGTAATGAATAAATTAAAGTTTCTTTATTTTGAACTCAGGTTTTAAAGCTTCGCTTCGGTTATTTACAACAAACGTTACGCAGTGTAAAGACCTGTTTTATGTGCAAAATCTATTCATTCAACTGTGGCGGAAATACTTGTATAAAGCGGAATTTAACTACGCTGTACGGAAATTAATTATAACAAAGTGTTTGCAGTACAATAATAACACGAAATTTAAAAAAAAACATCATGTGGGACAAGTTTATTTATGTTTTTGTGATTACTTTGACAACATACATTTTAAAACAGCTTTTCTCAGAGACTCCTAATTTTATAAAATACAAATCGAAATTCCTGATATTTTATTTCACCGCTTCTGTGGTTTCATTAATTTTAATGCCATTCTTTGTATTTAACCCGAAAAATGTTATGAATTCATTGTAAGTATAATATTTTTTATGCACACATTTTATATATTTACAAAACTGTAATTTTAGGATAGATATTTTTTAATTTATATTAATTCCTCAGTAAATTATTCAAACTATTATGTACATATATTAAAATTTTATTGTTGACAAAATGATTGTTAATTAATTTTAAAATTTATTAATTCACCGTTATTATTTTTGTAATATGAATATAAAGGGATTTGTATTTGATGGACATGAGTTTAGAAAAAATATCAGTAATTGAACTGATCAATTGAATTTGAATCCAAAAGAACAATTCAATTTATTCAATACTACTACTGAACAAAGAGGATTGTCTCTGAAATGCTATAATTTGTACATACTTAGAGGAGATTTGGATGAAAAAGCACAATACAGATATTAATTTCCATATTAAATTTATTTACATTTAAATTAATGGTGTGTAAATGTGTAAATAAAGATTATTTACATATTTTATAGTATTACATTTTTATTTCATCTATTAAGTTGCAAAAATAGAAATAGCTTACATAAACTTTGAAGAAATCTATACAATGAAAATTAAGAATTCATAACTTTGAAATAATATTATATATTAAAATAAATTGTAAACAAACCCATGTGCGAATGCTAGAATTGTTTATAATTATTTCTAGATAAATAAGTCACACCCATCATGCATATCAATATAGTCAGGGTAACAGGTCAAAAGTTCTTCGCAGATAAATAACAATGACGCAGAAACATTTCTATAATCAACGATTCTAATGTTTTCAGATTTGGTACACAAATAATAAAACATGTAACTAAAGTTATTGAGGTCAAATGGTTTTTAAGAAATGGAAAAGTATTAGCTGAAGACAGGGGAGCAGTAATTGTGTCCAATCATCAATCTTCCCTTGATATTCTCGGTAAGTGATTCAACACATTCAGTGCCAGTGTCACCTGAATATTCCATACGGGAAAAATCTGTTGGTATGGAATGTGTTAATAAAGTCATGTCATAAGTAAAGAGCACAAAAGTGTTATGCCTAGTTTATGTTATGCTAGTACAGAATTGTATGAACTCCATGGAGCCAGTTAGTGTTTACATTATGGCAGCTGCATGCCAGCGCTGATTTTGAGCAATTCTGCCCTACTGTACTGGAATAATGTAAACTAGGCTTTAATGCTATTTGTAACAAATAAACCTTCCCATTTATAATATAAGTGTTAGTAACATAATTCTTGTAACAACTATTATAGCTTAGGTTTTCACCAACACAACAAATGATAAACATTTCATTGTTGGATTATTGAATATTAAATAAATCATGTATTTTACTTAAAAACATATTCAGAAATTGGCATATCATCAGAAAAAATATTTTGCACTGAAGTATTTATAATATTTTATTTATATTTAATTACAGGTATGTTCAATATTTGGCATGTAGCTGTTAAAATAGCAGCTATAGCAAGAAAGGAAATATTCTATGTATGGCCATTTGGATTAGCAGCGTATCTAGCTGGAGTCGTATTTATAGACAGAAATAATTCTAAAGATGCATACAAACAACTTAAAATTACATCTGATGTGATGATAAACAACAAGGTAAAAAAATAATTTATCATTTTAAATCTATCTTAATACCATTGTAAGGACATAAGTTATTGGAAAGGTCTTATAATGTTACTTAGTTCTGTATTTTTTATACCTTCAAATATTTTTAAGGATGTGTGTGTGTTTACGTGAATCTTAGATTATAGACTCACGATAGAACCCATTATGTGCCATTGTTATTGGAGTTCTATTTTTTTTTTATAAGAAATAACAGAAAATCAAGCATATTTCCTATTTGAACACATCATAAATGGTCATAAAATTGAGGATTAATTATGTTTGTTAATATTTTATAGACAAAGATATGGGTGTTCCCTGAGGGAACAAGGAATAAAGACTTCACAACGCTATTACCGTTTAAGAAAGGTGCTTTCAATATAGCCGTTGCTGCCCAAGTTCCAATTCTACCAGTTGTCTTCTCACCATACTATTTTATAAATTCAAAGAAATTCATATTCAATAAAGGTAAGTCTTATACACACTTATTATTAAATTAATAAATGATTTGTTTTTTTTATAGTAAAAAAACTCAAAAACTACCAAACTACATAACAATTATAGAACATCCTATATAAGTATAAACTTTTAATTCAATTGTATTTCAAAGTAATTTGTGTACAAAGACAATGCTTAATTGTCTAAAAGCGAAATCTGTTTTATCATTGACTCACATGCTTAACTAATTATCTACTTTACATAATATGTAGGCCGATTAACTAATTTAATTAACACATAATACATATTAAGTTATTTACCTTGTATGACAAATTTTTGACCTAATTTCTGAGCGTCAAATTACATTTCAATAAGTAGGAAATAAATATCTTTAATTGTATAAGCAGATAATTTAATTCAGATAACTTTTATTATTCCTTGTTAATAAATATTTCCATAAGTATTTTATTATGTTAAAAGACAGTAGAAGTCAATTGATGGTTTTTGATATAAAATTTGAAATGCATTTAATTATGAATAACTAGCTGTCGTTCCCGCGGAATTTAAAAAAAAATTGAAGCCTATCTGTCCTTACAGATTATGTTCTACATCTATACCATATTTCATCAAGATCCGTTCATCTGTTCTGCATATACCTTGATACAAACATCCATCCATTTAAACATTCGCATTTATAATATTATTAAGATCAAGAACAATAGGCGAACACTAGTACTAAATAGGCAATAAAATAATTCCCAGGTCACGCTATCATCCAGTGTTTAGAGCCAGTGCCAACTGAAGGATTAACAATGAATGATGTCCCCGAACTCATTGTTAAAGTACGGACCATGATGGAGAATGCATACAAGGAGTTATCTAAGGAAGTGCTCAGTGCTTTACCCCCTGACTACCCTCTTGCGACTATGGACTGATGATTTGTGAGTCATAACAGAATATTTTTTATAATGTTCTGTAGGTTCAAATTGATATTTTTTTAATACTTAATACTTTTCTGAGAGGAATTCTCTTTTTCTATTCGATGCAGATTTAAATATGCAGATAGGGGTGACCAAACATTTATAAAGTATTTTTTCGAGCATGTCGGTAGAATTTTTTTTTTTTATATTTTTCAAAATGGCAATAGAGTAGGAAAAATATTCTACAAATAACGTTAGAATTAATATGCATTGTGGTAACTACAATTTTACAAAAAAAAACTAGGAAAGATAGATCTAGATCTTTTACAGATATTATTAAGCTGTAATAACTTAAGTTTACTGAAAATAATATTTTAAAGTTCCTGTCTACATATTTAAATCTTTAAGTACTAAATAGTTATGTGACATGAAAAAAAAATGTGATTTTTCTTGTTTTTTTTTAACTAACAACATCGAAACACATAATCAGTGATAAATATTAATAGTAATTAAATAACGACGCAGAAAATCTCAGATTTTTTTATATTTATTGAATTTTATCATGTGTGTGTTTAAATTAGATGTATGAAAAATTTTACGATTTCAATTTGAACTAGAAATCAGAGTATGGTTGGTTTATTTGAACACATAAACTTACATGTTTTTTTATGTTAAATGAATTTTTAGTGTATATTTTAATAAGGTATCAAATATGAAGTCTTTTAGTATTTTAAAGCTTTATTTTATAACAGCTTGAAATTAAGATGTATAAGTGACGTGATTTTATTTCGAAAAATAGGAAATTTTACACATGTCAAAACCAAAAATTTATACGAAAATCTTCTTATAATATTTTTCTTTTAAAATGATATTGCCCACCATTTTTAAATAAATGCTATATGCATTTATTTGCTTTGTGATAATATTTTTAGCCAATTACAACCTTATATCTTAATGTCACTATTTTTTTTTATAATTTAAGATATTTAGGCTTTTACTTAGGATTTTTTTGGATATATGAGTCAGATTAAATTCGCAATGTAACGAAATCGTGAAAGGAAAAACATTTGACAGTTTTATTTATTATACTAAGTGCTTAGTATTCTGGTAAGGACCAACACGTTTGTTGCATAAATCCATAGGATATGGTAACCAGGCAATCTCATAAAATAGGACAATCATTATATTAAAATCACGAAATTTAATATGCGCATGTGTGCGCCTCTGATATTCGTTACTCACACAATGGTGGGACTGATAAGCTATTTAAGCGCATACGAAGGACGCCGGCAAACTATTTGGGTATATGATTACGCAAGCATATAGAAACGCAGTCCCTTTTGAACAATCCCTAAAAATCTTTTACTCATCTCTCTTCATGTAAAAAGCTCAACCATTCTTAATACTGATGGTAATTGCAAATGATAATAGACAATACTGGTTGGTTTACTTTAAACAAATATAAGTCGAATCAATTAAAAAAAAACCTGCCAATTTTTTTTTTTAGCCATTTTGTGTTAAAAAAAATTATTGCCAAGTTAGTATTTAATTTATAATATTTTATCCCAAATTACTATAGTAACATAAAAAAAATATTTGAAAAAATCTTAAAAAATAATAATAAAGCATGGTAACCCTAAGGATGATAGTGAAATTGTTTACTTTCATTGCGTGGAGTGTTGCGATATTTAGTCTACATAAATTCATTTCGAATACAAAACACGTCGACAACAGAGTTCTCCAGTACAGTTCATACGCAATAAATAGAATTACAATGTCAGGTTAGGTCATCTTAATTAAACCAATACAATACTGGTCATTTCACAATATACTAAGGGCATTTTTATCGGTCTTATGACGAAAAAAGAAGGAAGAGGTTCTCAATTCGTCTGTTTTTTTATAAGTTTGCTTTTATGTCATAAGGTGGCAAACGATCGGGCGCCCACCTGAATATGAAATAGCGAAATAACCGTTGAAATTTGACCGTTTAATAAATGTCTGGCACAAAATATTATTAAAATGTAATTTGTCTCATATTTGTAATTGTTCGCCATTCTTTCTAAATGTCAAGTATTTTTTACCATTTTTTATACTTTTCAAGCGAGCTTAAAAAAATACTTAACAGGTATTTGCTTAAAAGTGTTTAGTTTTTTTTTATTATTAGCGTAACTATTCATGAACTTAATATTTTTTTTTACTTTTTTATTTTGTAACATATATAATAAATACATATTACTAATTAAATTGCTTAATTCTTTATCAAAAGAAAAGACTATTTTTCCCAGTAAATTTATGAAAAAAGTTATGTGTGCCAATTTTTTTTTCATAAACACAAAACTCGTAGCTTGCACCTCTGATACTATAATTCAACTACACCAACTCAAAATCATTGTGCCATTTACCATTGGTTTCTGAGATAAAAATCTCTGTATAAAACATATCGTCATCCCTGTCGTTTCTTTGACAAAACATCAATAACAATATATTTTAAATGGCGATTTTCATCTTAGAAACCCACAATTAACACATTCTAAAGTTGGGACCAAAAGAACTTTGTAATTTTTATGTTATTACAATAACATTTAAGTTAATACATTTAAATAATAAACAATAAAATTGAGAAAAAATAACAGCAATATAATAATAGATATTCACAAAAGATATAAATAAAAAAAAAACAAAAAAACCCACAAAATAAAAAAATCATTTTTGGTCATTTTACTATTAATTATTAAATGATTTTTTAATGAAATAAAATTTATAGTATTTCCAAATACATATCTATATAATAGTTTCTGCATAATTATAACTTTGTGTTTAAAAAAAATATATGTTTTATTGTTGCTCCCGTACACAAAGAAACCAAACATAGTTATAACGATTTATCACTTACTACGTTACAATTAAGTAATAGTTTAAAAAAAATTAAGCTATATAAACATATATTAAGCTTATATACTATACATAAATATAAATTCCAAAGATTCGCTTTATAAATGTTAATTTAGAAAATTGATTAAATTGAAAAAAAAATTATGAATTTTTCATAAACATTAAATGATTTACTTATATTATTAAAGTAATAAAAATAAAATATAAAAACATAAAAAAATAAGATTTTGACACGTACACTAAAATTCCGAAATGACACATGTGAAAACAGTCATGTTTTGGTACTGTACGTTTTAATATAGTGCTATTGTCATACTGGTCCACTGTGCTACCCTCGTGTGAAACTAGGATTATCGATAATCCACTAACAGATCTCAACAACCAATCTCAAGTATGGTATTTTTAATCCAAAATATTATGTATATATTTAGTAGAGATTAACTAATTTCATTGGTCGTATTCAGTTATATAGGCTTTACCTAACAATAAAGTATCTTTCGATTTATCTTACTCATTGGAACATATATGTTGTAGATTATATAACTATATGTATATGTGTAAAATCTCGAATATTGTAGAAATATAAGTATGTGTAATCTTGTGTATTTGTAAGATATATTCTTTATATATGCTTATCGTATTGTGATATACAATGTAGTTTAGTCGTGTAGTATTTCTTGTATACCAAATGTATTTTCGTCTATTTTTTCAAAAACTTTTTCATAACAATGTGATCGACTTTTAATAAACTTTGAAATCAAAGACATGTCTTTTTATTTATCTTTATTTATTCAATAAATACGTATTTAATGTAAATACAAAATCTGTTATTAAATATACCACAAATATTTGACATTATCACAGCCCCTTATTATAAACATAAATTTTTTACTTTACCTGAAACAAGATATTTATCATTTTTACTGGAATTTAGGTAAAACAGTTTGGACTGTTTTTTTTTTAATAATTGTATTATATAGCTCACTACGTCTATGCATTTTAAAAGAAACTCGTTAAATTTAACTATTTTCATATATTTATTTACTTGCACGGAGCGCATATACATTTTTTTAAAACTCATTCGGAAATTCTATTCATATCTATTTGGACGCTAGAACATAAGTTTATTAAAGCTTCCAAAGTTCATTAACCCCCAAGGTTTTAAAAATAAATCTACACTGCCATCTACCGGTGATGATCAAATACTAATAGTAAAATCAAAGCGATATGTCAGTCATGTGTTTGACGATTTGATTATATACCGATAGATGATGCTAATACACTATTGAATCCAAACAACTTGAACCATAGAGAAAAAATTTAACTAGCAAACATAAAAACTAATCATAAACTCCGTGTGCACTTAAGAATAAAATTAGTTAAATATAATAGTTGGAAACAATCAAAGTAGTATTAAACTACTGCAATACCTTTGAATAATTTATGATTCGATATAATACACCTAAGTAATAATTTAAGAATTTTCCATAGTTTTGTACTTACATTTCAGTCGTGTTTTTGCTGCATGGCGAGCCTTGATTTCGTCTCTGCCGATACTCTAGTGAATGCTTCTTGCATCGTCATCTGTGTCGTCTCTATTAACGCGGGAATATCATCTTTGCTCAAATTTTCGGTTTCGATTTTCGGCAATATTGTTATTACAACTTCACCTGGAACAGTCAAATATAAATAATTTTAATACACAACGAATTATTAGTTAGCACAAGAAAATACCAAATAGTTTTGCTTAAAATAATTTATAGACGCAAGATTTATTGCGATACGAAAGTTTTGTGTCAATTTTTTACAGTTATTGTCTATACTAGCTTTTGACCCCAGATATAAAAAAAAACTATTTGTAGCCTATGTGTTCATCCATACCATGTTCTACGTCTATGGCAAATATTAGCGAGATATGATTATCTGTTCAAGAGATACGTAATAACAAACATTCATCTATCCATCAAAGATTAAACATTTGCATTTACAATATTAGTAAGACTTAAAGTTCTTATTTAACAAAAACTTAATTTCCGTAGTGTAAAAATGTTTAGGTGTTAACATCGTCAGTTTTATCAATGTCAATAGCGGCTTTCTAATGCGATAAACGAGATAAGAGCGGTATTACAAGTGTTTATATCACTTGCACTCCTTAACGATAACAGTAAATAGGCCTCCCAATAGGCATTCATGTTTGTAGGTCAGAGGGAACAATTGAATAACTGATATTTCAACGAGTGTGAATATATCACTTATAAATGCCACAGACAGCAACCAATTGTAAATATTTTTAGCCGTAGGTTTACACTTATTCAAAAATATATTGCTTTCTTTATCATTATTACTGCAAAGAGTGAGATAGCTGTGGAACCACAGTAGGAATAAAGATTACACACCACAGTTTAAATTCACGATCCTAATTGATGAATTGCCAATGAAGTCCAAGACTTAAAACCTATGTTTATTATGATGTTTGTTAGAAGGCTGTTTCCAGAACGGCTGCATGGATCTCGATCGATCTGTATATATATATAGTCATAGACTAAAGCATAGGCTACTAAATCAGTTTTTTTTTAGTTCCGCGCGGACGAAGTCACGAGATATAGCTAGTAAATGCATATATCTTATAAGGTTTCATTACAGATGTAACTCTAGTCTCAAATATACTTATGTAATTTTAAAGTTGAATTTAGACAAAAAAATACATTTCTATTGGTACAAAATTATTCGATATTTTGAATATGCTTTAATCAATCACGGAATCTTATATATGCCTTTTTTTTCTTCACATTAATTATATGATGGCGTGATTAATTCAAATGACAATTTTCCATATTCTTGTCTTTGTTAATCGTATTTAATTTTAAATTTAAATTAAATAATGATATTAACCAGTATAGATAATGAGTCAAGGACAAACTTTTTATTAAGTAATACGCAATATAAAATTTAAAGATTACACTATAAACCTAAAGCCGTACAATCAATAAGAAATTCAATATACGCCTAACGGAAACACAAAAATGGAGAATTGGATCAACTTGAAAGCATCAATAGTTCCATTATAGTTCAAAATTAAGATTGGTATGCTAATAACAAATTAGTACGTTCCATCTTTCGACCGTTCCAATTACATTTTGCCTACGACTTCGTTCACGTGAAATTATAAAACCTTATTAAACAATTTATGCAATGTTCCACACCTTAAGTTACATTTTTGCTTAAATCTATATCATCTAGGTTAACACATTCTAGGATTACCTTCTATCAAACATCCATCCATCTAAAGTTCCGCATTTATAATATTAGGAAGTAACATAAATTATGTTTGAATAGCCCAGTATTCGTAGTTATTCTCAATTTTGACTTACTGTGAACTGCAAAGGATATCTCTGGAAGTACTTACTCCCATTTCAATCATTAGGGTCTCAGGTTAGGTAACTTACGCTAAGAGACTCTCAAGGTTATTTTTAAAAGACTGCAAGTGTGTTGACTACATGTTATATAATACTCACCAGAGCCAAAGCGAAGTCGTTTGTCATCTAGAAAATGATACTTGGAGACGACAACAGGTTGTATGGGAGCGCGCGCGTCCACCGCAACGTGGAATGCTCCCTTGCGGAACGGCAA